TCTGTAGATTAAAGGAATCTTAAGAGATATATCAACAGGTTGTAATGTACTGACAAATATTCCTTGGCTCTTGAACAAAGTGTTAAGAATTTTTAGACAGTCACAGAAATTTGAACATTTACTGGATATTTGATGAAGTTAATAGATTATTATTTTTATTAGTAGTAGTGTTATAATGGCACTATGGGATTTTTGGGTGTTTTTTGTTTTGTTTTGATTTTTTGAGGCAGGGTATCACTCTCTTGCCTAGGCTGAAGTGCAATGGCACAGTCAAGGCCCACTGCAGCCTCTACCTCCCAGGGTCAAGCAGTCCTTCCACCTCAGCCTCCCAAGTAGCTGGGACTACAGGTGTGTGCCATCATACCCAACTAATTTATTTTTAATTTTTTTTGCGAAGACAGGATCTCACTCTGTTGCCCTGTCTGGTCTCAAACTCCAGGCTTAAGTGATCCTTCTGCTTTGGCCCCCCAAAGTGCTGGGATTATAGGTGTGAGCCCCTTCAACTGACCTATGGTTATGTTTTTAAAGAGTGCTTGTCTTTTAGAGATAAACATTGCAGTATTTATAGATATAATAATGTCTGTGATTAGCTTCAAAATAATGCGATATTGGGGAGGAATATTTGTAAAACAAGAGACGATTAGTGACAAAGCTAGCTGATGGGTAGATTGGGGTTCAATCTGTTATTGTCTTTTCTTTATAAATGTTTGAATTTTCCATAATGATTTTTAAAACTTACAATTAAACCTATATTTCCTACCAATTTTGGTTTATTTCAAGATAGAAAACAAAACTGACACACCAAATGTTTATGATGGCTCTTGTTGTTATTGTGTACTATGTAAAATTTGTTTAAATATAGTTTCTTCACACATCTGAGAGAGAAATTTCTATATTGTAAATACTGATCAATTGAGTTAAAACCGAAATATGACTTTTTACCCTAATGTAAAAATTTAAGACTGTTTTAGTCTAAATTCCATTATGGACTGTTAATCTTTGCTGTTCATCTCTATTTTTATAATTTTGTTCTCGCCTATTTTACATCTCCATTTTTATTTTATGGTCAAATGTAGAAAGACTGTCTGATAATAATAAAATTAGTTTCCAGTTCCTACTTGGTGTGACTATTTTTCCTCTCTGTTTTATTTTCCTACCAGTATTTTGGGTTGAATAAATTGTGAACTTCTACAGTTTTAATAATAAATTTCTCTCTTATTTTCATGAAACTATAGAGTCATTGTTGATTTTTCAAAATCTGAATGATTGTTGCCTCTAGTGTGGGTCAGTATTCTGTATTTTTAATTACTGTTTCAAAAACAGATTTGCCTTTCCAGTGATATTTGGGTTAGACTGATGTTTAAGTTACTTTACCTATCCTGAATCCACACCAGCTGGCGTGGGGTAAATAAAGCCTAAATAAATAAAGCCTGTAAGTGTAATGGGTGGTAACTGTTTTGAAACCTACAACGTATCATCAAAAACAGATTATTACTATTCCTAGAAATGCTACTCACTGTACTTTTCTCTCATTTCTTATACCTATAAATGTAACATCTTCTGGATTGAATCCTGGTACTGTGACAATCAAGTATTTTTTGTAGGAAATATGTTATTGTCTAATATTCATCAGCCTTCTGAGCTAGGTTCTTATGTGTAACTCTAAAGTCATGGAATTTTACCTAAATGCATTTCTCAGATTCATTTATAACTGATTAGGAAAGCAGTTGGAAAGTGCTGCTGTTCTCTTAACTACCCAGATACTTTGGCATAGGTATTATTTATCTGTGCTTCAGTTTCCTTGCCTGTTAATCTCTGAGTTGGACTGGATAATCTCCAAAGACTCAGCATGAAACTCTAATTTTCAGTTCTTTTTCCAACTTTTGAAATAGTTTTGAAAACTTTACTACTTTTTCAGAGCTTTTATATATCTTTCTACCTTACTTATTTGATGCAATGGATTCTTCACCATTTAGAGAGAGAGTGTCATGAAGCTTCACAAATTAGCACTTCAGCATTGTAGAGTCGAATCGTAGCTGGTGTGCTATTGCATAGATATGCTATGTCTTCATCATACACATTTTCAGTTGATTCGATATTTGCTAAAAGTCGGCAATTTAAATTACTACCTGCAATTGAATTCTTGTAGATCTTTAGTTTTTAATCTTGAAAGCAGTTAGTATGCATTTAAATGAAACCAGGAATTGGTATACAGTGTGTTAAAAGAAAAACTTCAGCTGAATTAAATTTAATGGAGTTTAACTGAGCAATGAATGATTTATGAATCAGGCAGCACTCTGAGTAGGCTCAGACTCCAGCACAGCCACATGGTGGAAGAAGATTTATAGACAGAAAAAGGAAAGTGACATTCAGAAAACAGAAGTGAGGTACAGAAACAGCTGGATTGGTTACAGGTTGGTGTTTGCCTTATTTGAACAAGGTTTGAATAGTTGGCTACATTTGATTGGCCAAAACTTGATGACTGGCACAAGTGTAGGCTATGGTCTGTTTACACCTCCACTTCTTATAGTTCACGATTTACAGAGAAACCTTTAGGCTGAACTTAAAATATGTAAGGAGGCAGGTTCAGGCTAAACTTGACTTAACAAGTGTAATTTACATTTTTAGTTTTTAGGTATTCTTTATAGTCTATGGTTACTCTTTGCAAAGTTAACATAGCAGTTTTTAGATTCTTTCATAATCCATTTTAGATTGTAACAGCTACACAGAATTTCGTTGTGCTAATGTGTGTAGAAAATTTACAAAAAATAGGTAAGGAAGAAGACTTGCAAAATTATTAAGTTAGGTGATCTAGATCCAGATCTTTGGGAATGAAGCCTACTCAAAGACAGAGTTAAATTTATGTTATATAATGAGAAGGAGAGAAAATTTTACCTCTCAAAAGGATTACTGTATTCTTAATGGCTAAGTTTCCCAAGAAACTTCTCTATACCAAGTTATTTTATTAACTACTTATCTGTCTTTTATCCTGATTACCTCAATTTGGGATATTTCACTTTTTAAGGGCTTTAGCAACTTTCTTTTGTTCTGAAAAGTCATTTTAAAAGTTTTTGTGTTTCTTTCCTACTTCAGTGCATTTGGCATCATTCTGCAGTTTCTTTGGCTTCTCTGACATATGATTACTCTTCAGGTTAATTTTTCTCTTCTTTAGAAGTTACTTGTGCCACCCCTATTTGAACTCTGATGCCTGGATAGGAACTGCCTGGGAGCTCACCACATTAAGCTTTATGCAAATATGTGAGGCAACCTTGCTCAGATCCTTAGGTTGTTTACTGCCCCCTGCCCCCCACAAAGAGGCTTTCTTGCTGCTACAGAAAAGGTTAAAAAAAAAAATCTGTCTGGGCAGTTGCATATCAAAGGGAATTGTAAGCAAAAGTCAAATGAATGCATGAAGGTAAAATGGACCTTAATCTATTTTAAAAATTAGGACCAGAAAAAAGATTGCTTCACAGATCTCTAGCATAGTTCACCCAAAAAGCTGGCTTGGAATAGAAAGTTATAACATTCCAAGGTACCAACAAAGTAGCAGAATGCAGCATAAAAATAGCTGAGGTCACCAGAAATGGGAGGCAGTAAACCATTATAATATGATATAAAACAGCCATTATTGCTCTTTAAAGGACTCATGAAGGCGTATTTTTCTGTTTCAGTAATGTCCTATGCCTTCATGCTATAGGTCATCTTCCTCTCTACTCTCTCACATTTTCCCTCATTTTTTAGTTCCAAAGCCACCTGATTGTAATCTCATCTCCTAAAGTACCATTACTCGAATACTATTGTAATAATGGCCTCTATCCCTGAATATCTACTACTTATCAGGCACTGTTCTTGGTGCTCTCACATGATCTCATCTTGATCACAAGATCAGTATTATTATCTCTACTTAATAGATGAGGCAGTTAAGTAATCATTCACTCAGGGTTGCATAACTGGAAATTCTGCAACATGAATTTGAACACAGGCTATTCTACTTGGAGTTAGGACTTCTAAATTTCACTTTATTATAATGCACTCTTATGTCCTTTCTACTCTTTCAGGTTTATTGCTCTGTAGAATTATTAAAATACTGTTTTCTTTATCACTTCCTTATTCAAAAATGTAGCTTTACTATGCAGTGTTTCCGTAGTTGGAAATCCAGCATTCAAAGCTTTTTCCAGCCTTGCTCCACCTTTTCTTCTGTCCCACTGTCCTGCTCCCAGCTGGCAGTAATTCATGGAATTGTCTTTTCATTCTGATTAATGATTACCATGTAATGCTGCACTCTTGAAATACCCATTGCTTTCTGTGCTTCTGTTTTGATTACCTTTTCCACTGACGTTCCATGTTCCTCCTCTCCTGAAAATACTTGCTCAAACCCTCTATCATTAATCCCAGTTGACTACTACTAATACATGACATTCCCTCAGCCCTTATACTTTCTTTGTCTTTGCATTGCTGTGGGTTTTCTCTTTGGGTTCTTGCAGTTATGGTGTTTTATTGTGTTATAAAGAAATATTTTAAAGTCTATATTTTAATCAGATGAAAAGCTGATAGTGTGGTTATACATAATAACTGAAATGTCAATATTTTATATCAACGTAAAAGAATGACAGTCTTTCTTTTGGAAAAAAATTGGTACTTTTACAAAATCACATTCTTATCTTAAAAACCAATGGGCTGAAACAAAGCAACTCCTCATCCACAGATAGGTAGAATATAATTCACTTTGCTTAAAAACTATTCACACATGTATGAAGTATATGAAGCATGTGAAGAAATTTGAAATGTGAATATGTTGAAGCATGTCATTTACCTCTGGGATGTAATTATTTCCCCTTTCCTCACCTCTTTTTCAGTCCCCATGAAAGGCATAAGTTACATGGCAAACACAAGCTTGTTCTAAAACCTGAAGCAGCCCTTGGCACGTCTTCGAGATGAGAATTTGAGGGTGATTCTTGAAACTGTGTTAGTCAGTTTCAATCTTGTGTTTCTTTTTCCAGGTTTCCTGAAATGCAGTTTTTCCAACAAGAAAATGTGAGAAAAATTCTTACAGATGTTCTTTTCTGTTATGCTAGAGAAAACGAGCAGTTGCTTTATAAACAGGTAATGAAAATATCTTACAGGTGGCATCCATTGACTCAGATTTTTCTATAAAGCTTGACAAATGATAGAGCAATAATGTAGCCTTTATTGTATCCAAAGTTGTATCATAATGCTAAAGCAATCAGAGAGCTGCTTGTCAGCTGCATGGTGAGAAAGGTAAGCTCATTGAAGCACATATGCTGCTTCCCCATTTTAAGACATTCCACCAAATTGTCTTCTATAAGGTGTTCAATCTTTGCTTTCAACTTTTGGGAGCTTGTTTATAAACAGCATCTTTGAAGGCAATCTAGTAATAAAGCTTCAGAGTGGTATGTATAAATATTATTTTTAAGGATAGCATTTATAAATATAGGACAAGTCATGTAAAAAATAATCAAGAATCCTATTACTCTTTAAAACTTATCAGTAATAGAACTTCAGAAAGTTTCTTTCATTTTTTTGAAATTCATTTTTACTTTCTTTGTGATCCTGTTATTTGACTCATCTCATTACTAAAGAAAGATGATTATTGGATTGTTTTATTTTATTGAAATATAAATTATTTAATACATACAGATGTGTTTACATTTTTTGACTTTGTGGTGTTCTAATAAAAATATACACAATTGGATATTTTTATGTATTTCTCCAAATGCAAATTAAGTGAGAATTCAAGCTAATTTTTAAATTCTCTAGTAATCAAAAGTTATAATGTGTATCTAATTCAGTATCACTGAACTTAAATTTAAATAATAGCAAACACTTATGGTAAAAGCAATGTGTTTAATTTGAAATAAACTAGATTTAATGATAGTAAAACATATCAGACTACAAATATACTAAGTACATTTTTAATTATTGTGTATATATAGAATACCCAAGGGAACTAATTTTATCTTATTTTTAATAGTAGTAATATTTTTCTGTATTACCTGCTGACAATAGCTTATTAGAATTGGAAATGAAAAATATATTGCATTTATAGGGCAACCAAAAACTAAAATGTCCAGAAAAAAATTAATAAAGATACAAAGCTATATGAAGAAAACTATAGTCCAAGTACAGTGGCTTACACCTATAATCCCAGCACTTTGTAGGGGTGAGGCAAGCTGATTGCCTGAGCCCAGAAGTTTGAAACCAGCCTGGGCAACATGGTGAAATCCTGTCTCTACAAAAAAAAAAGAAAGCCCACCAAATTAGCTGGGCATGGTGGTGTGCATGTCTAGTCCCATATACTTGGGAAACTGAGGTGGGAGGATCCCTTGAGCCCAGGAATTTGAGGCTACAGTGAGCTGTGATTGATTCACTGCACTCTCACCTGGGTGAAAGAGTGAGATGTGTCTCAAAAAAAAAAAAAAAAAAAAAAAAAAGAGAGAGAAAAGAAGACTATAAATGTTATTAAAGGATATACAGCAAGAATTGAAGAAATAGAAAAATGATAGCCATGTTTTTGGATGAGAAGACTTTAAGTAAAAATATTACTTCTTTGCAAATTAAATGTTTAAATGGGTTGTCATTCCAGTGATAACCTGAGTGAGATATGTGTTTTTTTTAAAAAACTGGATATGCTTATTTTAAATTTAGTGCTTAAAAATGTTCCAGTTATTTTAAAGGGCATAACATAATTTAGGGATTAAAAGCACTGGGTGTAAATTCCTTTGTTTGAATCTCAGCTTTCTTCTCGTTTACTAACTTCACAATCTTAGACAGTTTACTTAATTTTTTTAATCTTTAATTTTTTATCTGTAAGATGAGGGCAATAATAGTAATTACTTTATAGAGTTAACATTTGGTGCCAAGCAAAGGTTCATGTTCGTAGCTGTGGTTATTTTTATTATCATTATACTAATTATTAAATATGTTGGAATTGCCACAGAATTTGAGGGAAAGGGAGAATGGCAACAGTAGATATTAAAACTTCAAAGGTTCTGTGATCAAACTAATGTGATAATATTATTTGACTTGACCATTGCTCAGTGAAACAGTCTAGAAACAGGTTCAATTATATATGGTATCTGAATATGGTAAAATGGGGGAAAGGATATTGACTTGCTATATTTGGCTTTCCATTTGGAAAAATGATTAAATTACATTTATTGGAGAATAAATTCCAGATGATGTAAAAATATAAATATAAAAACTAAAACTATATAAAAATACTAGAAGAGTATTTAGGAGAAAATTTGTGTAATCTCAGACTAAGAAAGGCCCTTGCAAGAAAGGTAGGCTCATGTACAAGTCGGATAAAAAGTCAAAAGACTAAAAACAAACCCAAAAAGGAGACTGGGAAAAAAAAATATTAGTGTGGAATTCTTTTGGACACAAATAGCAGAAGACCTCATTCAAAATGGCTTAAACTGTAAGCAGGTTGTTAACACACTTCACATGAAGTCTGGGATAAATGGTTCTGCCGCATTAGTTCAGTAGCTTAAATCTTTATCAAAGATTCCAGGATTTTGTTTTTCTGCTCTCTTTTCATTATATTGGCTTTTGTTGTGAACCTTATCTCTTTCTTATTTCTTCTCCTTTAAATACTTGAAAATACCCCACAGTAAAAGACTTGATGATAGTGAATCAAATCAGGATAAAGTTATCCCAAATTACACATCTGTTTTCTTATTTTTCTTTAGAGAAAGAAAAAATAGATTAAGAAAGTCTTATAATAGTGGAAACAAGTTCTGTGGACAAGGCACAAAAAACATAATAACTGCATTCCATCCACCATTTGTGATGGATGTGGCCCACTGCATTTGTATGGAAGACTGCACAGGAATATGGAAGATGAGATTCTTGATCTATTTGACAAAAACCTATCAATTACTGAATAAGAAAGTATTATTAGCTTACTCCTGGGTGTCATTTTGAAAGACTTAATTACTCCCTGTTTAAAATCTTACAGATTTTTTACAGAGAAATAATACCTTGCTATAGAAGGACTGAATATTTAGCCAGATCAAATTTAAGAAAAAACCTTAAGTTTCATCACAAGCTGTTAAAGCTCTTATTTTGTACTAGGTGACACCCCGTTTAACATCGACCATATTGTTAATAGTTATGGGATTTTATTGAATTAATGAGACTGTTATCATGTAGTAGAATGTCTTGCTGAGTTAATTGAAATTGCAGAGATTATATAAATGGTATTAATGAACTTTGACTGCCTGATGCCTTAGCTTTAATAAAGACTGCTTGGTGGGCTAAATGAACACAGGCAGATAAAAGAACAGGTTCAATTTTGTGAACCTACAGGCTGTTGATGAAGAAAACTTTGTTACCTTTATTTTCAACTGGCATGAGTTTGGAGTGCAGTGACTACTAAAAATCTAGCAGAGATAAAAGCTTTTAAGCAGGCAGAAATGCTGACAATGTAGGTGGAAGCAAAATACACATTTTGGGAACCAGATGCATACTGTTAATACATAATTTTTTTATTATGCTTTATCAAATTTATAGCATATTGAATTCATGATTATTTCTGGTATTTCTCTTTTCTTTTAAAGATGTATATGTAATTGCCATTTGTAAAGCAGGTTTTACTAATCTAGAATTGATAGCAAAATCAAAAATCTCTTTTAGGTATTTGAAAAAAAATCCCTAGTTTAGATGAAAGTCAAAATTGAACTTGTATAATAGTTTTAATGGTATTCAGAAGACTCTTAATTTCCATCCTGCCAAGAACACCTTTATTTATTGATTTGAAATATGATTTAATGCTATTTTTTTAATATTGTTTTTACTCTGTGGATATATTAAGTGGTAGATATTTCCTTCATTCAGTCAATATGTAGTGAGTACCTTCTTTGTGCTGGGCCTGTGGTAGGATCTAGATGTGTGTATACGTACACACATGCACGCGCACACACACATACTCACACTCACCCTCACAGTTGTACAGTGTCCATTCTTACCTGTGGTACAGTACATCCTTAGGGCAAACAGTAGTTCACCATTACCTGCAGTTTCACTGTATGAGGTTTCAGTTTCCTGTGGCCAACCAGCATCCAAAAATAGTTGAATATAGTACAGTAATTTGAGAGAGAGACCACAATCACATAATATTGTTACACTGCATTGTTATAATCGTTCTATTCTTACTATTAATTGTTGTTAATCTTAGTTGTTAAAATTAATCTTATAAAGATTAACTTATAATCTTTAAATCATAATCTTAATACCTTTGTCATACACGTGTGTGTAAAAAAACAGCCTAGTATATGTAGTTTTCACTACTATTTACAGTTTTAGGCATCCACTGGGAAGTTTTAGAATATATCTCCTGCACATAATGGGGGACTACTCTACAGTCATTTCTGTGCTCATTTTATTATTTTGTTCCTCTGTCTCTAGACTACAAACTCCATCAAAATTAGAAACTTGCACACTTCATTCACTTTTGTGTCACAGTAAATATAGGCATTTATAATTTTTGCAATAAGTGAATGATTAATGATGTTTGAACAAATGTAGAATCTAGACAGAGCAGTGTCAGAGAAACTAGAGGAAGGAGAACATTTATAGTTCTGAAGATGTCTTTAGACAAGAACTCTTTCTTATAAGCTATAACTTATTATAAAATATATTGTGGGTGAAAACACTCTTTCAAAAGGTCATCACCACTGACAGCAAAGAAAGAAAACCTCATGATAAACCTAATAAGAACTATACAGTTTTGCAAATTTTGGGATTAGAAAATCTGATGTTCTTAAAAATATTCTTCTCAAGTTGATTTTAATGCAATACCAGTAAAAATTTTAATGCTTTGTTTACCATTTTGTGTAACCTAAATGATAATGTAACAGCCTGGAGTAAAAAAATATAATAGTCAAGATGAATTTGAGGGAAAAAAAGGAGCAGAAAATAGAAAATAGTAGAATATTTTCAAGGTCAAATCTTTATAATGGCACAATTATTGTTAATAATATACAAACCAATGGATTACAATAGAAGCCCGGAAAAAACATCAGCTAAATGTTCATATTTTAACTAAGGATAGCATTTCAGAACTCTAGAGGAAGATGGGTTATTCAACTCATTGAAGATGGAATGATTATTCAGTAAATTGATATAATTCTTTTGGAGAAAAAATACTTATTTTCATGGCAAAAATTAAAATTATATCAGTTGAGCAAAGAATTAACTGAAGGAAAAAAGGAAATTGTGTTCTTACCTGATCTCAACATGGGGAAGGTCTTTATAGTCATGAAAGCAGAATAGAAAACATGAAGGATGATTTATGGTATTGGCTAAAGTTTATAATGTGGGTATGATATAAGATAAATCATAGAAATTAAAAGTAAGACTAATGATAACCATGGTAAAATGTTTGTAACAAAAATTACAAAGGGTTAATATCTTTTTTTTTTTTTTTTTTGAGACGGAGTTTCGCTCTTGTTACCCAGGCTGGAGTGCAATGGCGCGATCTCGGCTCACCGCAACCTCCGCCTCCTGGGTTCAGGCAATTCTCCTGCCTCAGCCATGCCCAGCTAATTTTTTGTATTTTTAGTAGAGACGGGGTTTCACCATGTTGACCAGGATGGTCTCGATCTCTTGACCTCGTGATCCACCCGCCTCGGCCTCCCAAAGTGCTGGGATTACAGGCTTGAGCCACCACGCCCGGCCTTAATATCTTTAATTGGTATAGAACTACTAGACATCACCAAGGAAAGAAAACACTTTATCAGGAGAAAATGGACAACTTATTAAGTAAACAGTCAATGAAACTTTGGGGTTCAGTCTTGCTAGCATTTAAATGAATTGTAACAATTTAACTGTGTAACATGACAAAATTTTTTTAAAACACTATGAATAAAGGTGAAGATGTGTGAGAGAGTGATTTATGTATTCTTCACTGAGGGAAGTCTTTCTGGAGACAGCTTCATGGTATACATCATACCAGACTTTAACACATATTTTTATCCCTTTACCTTGAAATTCTACTTCTAAGAACTTTAATCCTGAAGAAATCATCCGAAATAGGCAAAAAAATAGGCGAAATAGGCACTGCAAGGATATCTATTGGAGTTTTAAATTTATTTCTTACGTTTTGTTTTTTGGCTGGCCTCCCTCTCTCCCTTTATCTTTTTTTTTTTTAATTTTTGTTTTTGCTTTTCCATACTTTTTTTATTAATACAATTCTTATTTATTATTTTAATGGTTAAAATTATGGCACTTTGTTTTTGGACTAACTTGAGACTATTCCAAGAGAATAAACCCCTCATGATTTTTAAAGCAGAGTTAGCAATGTTTAATGTCATTTTTTTTTAGGTGTCTAACATGTTATCTGAAAGATTTTTTTTCAAGGTTTGTTTAATAAGGAGATGGTTATCCATAAAGACTGAAACAAGATGTGGTAATTTGTCCTAAATCACAAGTAAATTGTCAATGAATCTTATATTGTTTTGTAAAAATATAACTAAATCATTTTAATTCAAGGCTAGCAGTAACTTATATGTGAAATCTAAAAATGTTAACTTGTATATTATCTTTGTGATAACAATTGGCTTTCTAAGAATAGTACAACACTACTAGACTGTGCAGAGGACTTTGTAACTGTCCATTGTAGGAAGTGTTCTCTGATTCTACCAGCAAAAGATTTATCTCCTCTGCTTTCATATTTTTATTTCCTCTAAAAGTGGTATTTTGTCTTGTCTTCTTAAAAAAGAGCATCTGTAGTTACTACGCAAAAGGAAAGTAGTAATTTGCTCACTTTATGAGACAGGAAAGATTATAATCTATTTTAACTTGCTGAAACATGTTTTTTGACACTTAAGGGGGAAAGAAATCTCATTAGCAAAGGTAGCCATAATGTGGAATACCGTATGTCACCACTTTTATGGATCAGTAGTGGACTTTTATAGTACCCTTTTCAGCACAGCTTAGTAACTAATAATATACCTTTTTGTGTATATACCTATTTTTGGTGAAACCCAACATAAGGAGGAAAATAATGTTGATGAAATCGTTAAATAAATTAAAATTAACCTTATAGTTGAAGTAGACAGGAAAAACTTATGGTAGTTTTCTGATTAAACATGTTAAATCTTATTTTAACAAGTTTATTTTCTGTCATACCTTCTTAAGATTGTTTCTTTTATTATCCAACATTTCTAGCTAGCTGACTTCAGCGCTTCCTAAATCTACAGACATCCTAATTTTGAGCCATTATATAATGAAAACATTGGATATAATTTCCTTAGGTCTACAGTTCTTAGTTGCCCTTCTTACTGAAGATCTTAACACTGTAGCTCATGATTATAATTTGCATAAAGGAAATTCATATTTATGAGTACAGATCTTGAAGCAACTGACAGGTGCAAGGTTGTCTACCATGCCAATTTATTGTTTGTCATGTCATTTAAAAGGGAACTGCTCTCCATGTTTTAAAGAAGAATACCTGCTGTGGTTGAATTAGAATCAAATTCTAAAAGTAGATAAAAATCCCATCTTGTAGCTTTCCATTTTTATGTCTTTCTGTATAATGTGGAAATTTTGGTAGTGGGGATTGGTTTGAAGAAGTATTTAACTGAGGTTATACTGTCCAGTAATGGACTCTGAATATCCTCTCTTTATTTTTCTGGCTCTTTATTTCAGGGCATGCATGAGCTGTTAGCACCTATAGTCTTTGTCCTCCATTGTGACCACCAAGCTTTTCTACATGCCAGTGAGTCTGCACAGCCCAGGCAAGTTTGTTTTTTTTGTTTTGTTTTGTTTTTTTAATATGAGCTCCTTCTGTTTTTTAGCCCCCACTGTAACCTTTGTTTTTAAAACCTGAAAATCTTTTCAGTGGAAGATACTTACAAGTTGTATAGGTTGTAAACATTTGATTGTGTTTCATGTGGTTAATTGTTAATTCTACATAATAGTTGTAAGGCCAGTTTAGCTATGGGGCAAATTTGGAATCATAAATGTCTTTGAAAATTTTGATTCTTTATCAAAAGAAGACATAAAACGAATGGATCAAGAATTGAAAATTTTTGTATTAATCGCAAAAGCGTTAATGATTGATAATATTCATATATATCATCCTCTAATGATCCATTTTTCACTCCAAGCTGAGTAAGACTTTATGAGATTATTTCTCCTCACCAGATATGACTCAGCTTAATACACAAGTAAGGGAGAGCAGAGCCACACAAAAAACCTCAGTATGTAAATAAACAAGATTGCTTCTCAAATTTTTAAGATATATTCATTTATTCTTTCCTGCAACTAACTTTTGTAATTGGCTTTAACTTGGGCTAATTGTTAGAATTCACTTTTCTACCTTAAGAAACCCCAACTTACGGGCCTTCAGAAAATAATTTTGGAAATGTAGGACTCTAGGAATGTAAGGCTGCGTCCAAGAGTGTTCATCAGGCCAGCCCATCTGTATGCAGTAAACAGAAAACTTGAAGTTAACATTTCACATATCTGACTATAAGATCTTTATTAATCAAATATAGCCATCCATTTTACTGAGCATATGTTCAGACCTTTGTTAAATTAACTTTTGTCTACTAGTTTATAGATTAGTATTTTCAAGTTTCTTTGAAGCTTTGTTAATTTTACTGAGTTTTTTGATCTTGACAAGAGTATAACCAAATGTTAATTGCTTTCACTTCAGTTATTCTAAAATATAAACATGAAGTTAGTATTAAGATCCTGTTTTAATGCCAGTTTTTTTAAAAACGTGAATGTATGCTTCAGATTGGAGCTTTTTAAAAAATGCGCATGTAGAATATAATTTACAAGAAAGTATAGGTGATTGAAAATAGCTTTTAAATGAGTTGGACATGCTTCTTCAACTGATTCAGTCTGTAAAAAGTAAAATAAATGCTTAAGAGGTGTTCTCACTGATAAATTGATGTTAAAATGAAAATGAGAGTTAAAGAAAATAAATCAATGTTTTGATATTGCATATTTGACCAGTAACTGTATTTTTGTTGTTTTGGACAAGTGATAGATTGTGGATTGATTGATTATTCTAGATGAATCATAGTCAAGGAATATATTGTCACATTGTATATTTGTTATTTGGAATAATTAGATAGTTCATTGTGGCATAGACAAGGCAGCTAATTTGTTTTTGATCCTTATAGAAAGAAAGCATATAATTTGTTAATGGCATTGCTCTTATAAAAAGGCTAATTTTTTTTTTCATTTGCACATGATATGGAAGTTATCAGTGTAGAATAAGGGAAACTCTGCATCTACTTTAATTATTTAAAAATTACACATTTTGATTGCTTGTATTGCTTTTTTAAGTGAGGAAATGAAAATTCTCTTGAACCCTGAGTATCTGGAACATGATGCCTAGTAAGTACAAAAACTTTGTTTGTTTTATTTTTTTATACCATTGTTATTTTAAAGAAAGTTTAACATAACATGTTACTTTGTTTTATTTTTAGTGCAATGTTCTCACAACTTATGGAAACTGCTGAACCTTGGTTTTCAACTTTTGAGCATGATGGTCAAAAGGTAAATCATACAGTACCGATCTTTTCAGTATATTCAATGGAGCAAATGCTTTCAGTAAATAACAAGATGTAACCAAAGTATAGTACATAGCCATTATTATTGCTATAACCAAATGAAATTACCTATGGAATAAGATTGAGCCTGGGGATCTAAGTATATTTCTAATCATACTGGCAGATACACAAAGGCAATATAAAATTTTCATATAAATGCATTATGTGTGTATATATTAAGCAGCATCAGTGCTTAGTTATAAAATTATTATAATCTTTCTCTTGCTACCCTAGTGAGTTGGTATACACATTGTTATGGAAATGCATAGGTGAAACCTGTATCAAATAGGTTGTTTTGCTTTTACCAGTGTGTTGCTATTGAATTCATAAATTTAACATCAATATCCTTTACTCTTAATTTCTCTTATTCTTATTTTTAACTATATTTTTAATTTTTATATAATTCACAAAGCATAACATGGACCTATTAAACTTTTAATGGTTTCTAGTATATTTACAGGGTGAGGCAAACGTCCTTGCTCTCTAATTCCAAAACATTTTTTGGTCACCGAAAAAGGAAACTCCATGTCCATTACCAGTCGGTCTCCATTTCCCTATTCCTGCAGGCCCTGACATCACTAATATACTTTCTGGCTCTATGGACTTACTGATTCTGATATTTCATAATAAGTGGAATCATAACATACTGCCTTTTATGACTGACTCCTTTCACTTAGCATAATATTTTCAGTGTTCATGTTGTGGCATTTACCAGTATTTAATTTCTTTTTATGCCTGAATAATATTGCATTATATTAGATATACCACATTTTGTTTGTCCATACATCAGTCGATGGACATTTGGGCTATTTTCACTTTTGGCTATTGTGAATAACTTTGAACATTTATATACAAGATTTGTATGAACATGTTTTCATTTCTCTTATTGCATACCTGGGAGTGGAATTGCTGAGTTAACTATATTTTTAAACTAACCTACATGCTATCTTAGTGATCATTATGGTTTTCTCATTATATTACATAGTATTGGAAAAATCACAAATACTTCTGGCTATGGACACTGTTAAAGATATTTGGCATATTGTTTCCAGTATGTTTCATTTCTTTTATATTGGTATAATTGATTGCATTCTGGTTAGAAATCGTTATTACTCAGTCACTTGATTCCAATTCTTAAAAAATGAAATAAACAATTGATATTTTTCATGCCTTTGGCCAGCTCAGAGGTTGGCATCCTACTGCCTGTAGGCCAAATTTGGCCTACCATCTGTTTTTGTACATCTTAAGAGTTAAGAATGGTTTTTACATTTTTAAATGGTTAGAAAACTATCAAAAGATGAATAGTATTTTGTAACATGTGAAAAAAATATGAAATTTAAGTTTCCATGCCCTTAAATGTTTAGGAACCCAGCCATTTCTATGTGTTTACTTGTTGTCTGTGGCTGCATGGTCATTACAGTGGCAGAATTGCAGCACAGACTGTATGACTTGTAAAGCGTAAAATATTTACTCTCTGGCTCTTTACAGGGTAAGTTTGTTGACCCCTACACTAGGTAATAAAGTGTTTCTTCATATACCAACATATTATATTCTAAAAGGGTTGCTGAAGGTAAAGGCTACTGTATGCATATTTGGCAAACTATATTCTTGGAATAATAACCTTTTGTTCTTGGCAAGTGATGTGGTGAAGTCATAGACTTACATGAATGTCAAAATTTTGAGCAGAGTATTTGAACACATATAAACACTGATCATTTCTTATAGTGGTCATTTTGTATTTTATAACTGAGTCACAGTATGTGAGAAACTCAGTGACTAAACTGTGAGGGTTATCAGTTCTTAGTTTTACCTAATTGTATTGATATTACTGAGTCAGCTTTATAAAAGTGGCTAAGCCAACACAAAGAAAGACATTGATTTTGTCAAGGAATGTAATAGATGTGACTTTTGATCTTTCATGTTAATTACTTGCATATACGAATGAATAAATATGTTCCTAAAAAGCATTTCTAGTGAATCCCTTTATCATCATCCTGTTTTAATTCTTTCATGGTGCTATCACCTTTTTTTAAGAATGAATGGTAGGCAGAAAATAAGGCTTCTTGTTTAAACTGTCACGGATAAAGAATGACATTCATATATTTATTTCATATTTAAATAATACATGTTCAATTTTTCTGTTTTTAGGGGAGAGAAACACTGATGACTCCTATTCCCTTTGCTAGACCACAAGATTTAGGGCCAACAATTGCTATTGTTACTAAAGTCAACCAGATCCAGGATCATCTATTGAAGAAGCATGATATTGAGCTTTACATGCACTTAAACAGACTAGAAATTGCACCACAGATATATGGATTGTAAGTATTAAAATTTTGTTTGTTTTTTGGTGGGGTTTTTTTTTTTTTTTTTTTTTTGGTGACAAAGTCTCACTCTTTCACCTATGCCATAGTGCAGTGGTGTGATCTTGGCTCACTGCAACCTCTGCCATCTTGGCCTCAAGTGAATCTCCCACCTCTGTCTGCCAAGTAGCTGATACCACAGACACATGCCACCGCGCCCTGCTAAGTTTTATATTTTTGGTAGATGGGGTTTCACCATGTTGGCCAAGCTCCCCCTGAACTCCTGAGCTTGCCTCTGCCTCCCAAAGGGCTGGGATTACAGGTATGAGCCATTGCGCCTAGCCTAAAGTTTAAATTGCAATTACATCTAATTATATAGTAGTTTCGAGTGATATGTTAGTTTCTATGTGTCTCGGATCCTTAAAAGTGAAAATAGCAACTGTTCCAGCTCCATTTTATTTCACATCTCTTTTGTGTTTCTGTTTGCATGCTCAATGTTTATTACTTTCACCTGTGTATGGTATCTCATCTAATACTCCCTGTAATACCAACCCTGTAAATTGGATATTATTCCTCTATTAGAGATGAAGAAGCTGAGGCTCAGATTTAGTTTACATGTATTTCCCAGTGAAATCATAACCCAAAACCATAATTATTTAGGATTGGCTACATAATTTGCAGAGCCAAGTCCAAAAGAAAGATGTAGGGCCCTTTTGAAAAAATTAGTAAGAATTTCAAGCTGGTAACAGCAAATCATTAAACAGCTTTCTCAGATTACATTCCAAGAAGTTGCATGAGTCATACATGCATGGAGCTAGCCCCAAATCCTAACAATACTATTAAGATGTTCGTGTTCTTTTTATTATATCATCGTTTGCTCTACCCTGAGAGGTAGATTCCTGTAAGTAAGATAGATACCTCTCTCAGGGACCATTATGTATTTTCTTCAGCTATATAACTTCTGTAACATGTCATAGCAGAACAGGGAGATGGTCACTCCTTAGGGAAGTGTGCATGTGTTCGTGTGTGTTTTCAGTGGCTTATAAAGTGGGTGTGCAAATTAGAAAAATACGATTTTAGTAAATATGAATTATCTATGTAGAGCTATAGACAAAAGCGTTCTTTATATTTAAATAATAGAACATTTATATCTAGTGCTAGGCAGTTTCTTGGTAGATATTTTATGTAAAGCTTGACTCTCCATTAGGCAGAACATGCAAAATTGAGACAGTTTTTTATTGAAGTGTACATAGTAGATGCTCAGTAAATGTGAATTTATTATTTGAATTGCAAAGCATCTCAAAAAAATCACCTAAAGCAGAGGCTGTTTATTTAACCCAGAAAAGAGAATAAATATGTTATTTATGTTCTCATTTTACACAGTCTTTCACAAATAATAACTTTGAGCTGTTTCTCTTCTCAGAAAGCCCTGAACTGTAACTGAAGAACTCTGCTTTTCTGTTTTAATGCTGCCTGTTTTCCTTTCTGTTATCTTGACTTCATCATTGAGAGCAGCTTCATTATTCCCAGTGGAAATGAGAAAATTGCATGAGACATGTGGTATTGGGCAGCAATGCAGGTTATTAATGAATTGCTATGCACACTTTAATATGTTTGTGATTAGACATAAAAATTTATTTTGAAATAGCTAGTAATAAGGTCTGGAGTTAAATTTTATATTCCTCTCCACTGTACAGTCAAAGAATTGATATACTCAAATACAAAAGCACATTTTACACCCTCAGAAATTTCTTGCTAAGGTCCAGAAATTGGTTTTAAATATTAGGGAAAGAAATTGATGTTGAACATCTTTATCATTTCTTTGAAATGCTTTATAATTTTTTTGCCTTTTTGCCAAAACTGTTGCTTTATGTTGCAGTGGTGATGGTATAGGCTTGGGTGCAATCGTTTATAACCAGGGTGTTTCTGTTTTATTTTCAGGCGTTAGTTTCCTTCAGTTAGTTTCAGGGGTTAGTTTTATCTTTATCATAATAATTTATAGAATTGCTTTGACATCTTGATCAGTACCTTCCCATTAAAATTACATGATCCATGGCATAATTGCTCTTAATCTTTCCAACCTTATCAGCAATACCGAAAATACCAGGACTTAATAATAATCATAGTTGCCTCATTTAGCTCATTTTTTTTTTTTTTTTTGGGACAGAGTTTTGCTCTTGTTACCCTGGCTGGAGTGCAATGGCATGATCTCGGCTCACCGCAACCTCCGCCTCCTGGGTTCAGGCAATTCTCCTGCCTCAGCCTCCTGAGTAGCTGGGATTACGGGTGCGCGCCACCATGCCCAGCTGTTTTTTTGTATTTTTAGTAGAGACGGGGTTTCACCATGTTGACCAGGATGGTATTGGATCTCTTGACCTCGTGATCCACCCACCCCGGCCTCCCAAAGTGCTGGGATTACAGGCGTGAGCCACTGTACCCGGCCTAGCTCATTCTTTTTAATAGAATCGCATTAATATTATTTTTTTAAATATGTATTTTTTAATCTTTGAAGGATAGATCACTCATGGTCTTAATTGGCCCGTATTACATTTTATAGTGCAAGGATTGTATTTACCTATTTCACATATTAATTTGGTTTTACTACTGTTTATGGAGCACATGAAAGGCCAAAGTGTTTTAATTTTCTTATATCCCTAAGCTGTACTGCCATCTGTACTAACTATCTGTATATTTTCTATTAATGACTGTTAGAAACCTTAGGTCAAAAAATACTGTAAGCCAGGCATGGTAGCACATGCCTGTAATCCCACCCTACTCAGGAGTCTGAGGCAGGAGGATTGCTTGAGCCCAGGAGTTCAAGTCCAGCCTGGGCAACATAGCAAGACCCCCATCTCCAGTAATAACAATAACAATAATGATAATAATAATACTGCCATTAGAAGCATAGCCCCTGGAGTAAAACAGCCTTTGTTTTTTCATCTGGGAAATGGAAATTAAAAATAATGGTACCTGCTTCTTAGGGTGCCTGTGAGAATGAAATCATAATATACAAAAAGCATAGTGCTCAGTGTATAGTATACATTTAATATATGTTTTGACATGTTTTTATTATCAGTATTTGTCATTACCATTACTTAATTAGAATATCATGGCTATGTGAATAAGATGTCCTGTGTAAATCATTGGCCCTTCCAACTCTGACTTTCTTTTTTCTTTTCACTAAAGTCTATGTACTTCTCTTACCTGGAAACTTAAAATAGCTGTCTTTTGGACCAGTGCTTTCTAAAGTGATGCTATGGAAGTTGGGAGTAAATTTTTATAAATGATCATATAGTTTGGCACAGTAATCTTATGTTCTAGAATTTAATAAATACTGTAGTTTTGTATTTCATAGAAATGAATTAAAATATCTAGTTCTGATTCACACAAATACATTAATCCAATTAATTGCTGTGCTGTTTATGTCTATTGTAAGAAAGTTGTTAATTGAGTTTTACATTCAAAATTAATACTTGAAAATATAGTCAGTGGTTTGAGTAAATATCACCAAGGGGCAGATGTAAACCAATCCATTTTTAGTTTATGAAACTGCTTTCTCAGATTACATAATAATTCATAGTTGTGTCATCTAAAGGGTGCTTCTACATGCCAGATATTTTATAGAATTTTGGTTTTCAAACAAAACAAATACTTTCTTGTAAAATAATTTAAGAAAATTATAATTTACAGTAAAAGTGAAAAATGTTTAAATTAAAAAATAGAAAATAAAAATAAAAGTAAACTATTAGAAATTATAGTAAAACTGTTAATAATGAATGAGTCAATGGCAAATGTTATCAGTACCAACAGCTCATATGGAAAGAGGAGTAAATCATAAATATATACTTATATGGGGGAAAAGTGTTAGTAAGATTAAATTAATCCCCATGTAGAGTCTAGATTCCTCATTCTAGTCAAAATTTTTAACAGTTGCATGGGACATCAAATTACTTAAATCTAGTCTGTATTATGGTCATAATTGTCATTAAGAAAAATTTTGCAATTATTTTTAAAACCAGTTCTTCCAAGAGAATATATGTTAATATCTCCTAAGGTGGGAGGTATGCCTTAAGTATCCACATTTGCTACATTTTGCTACATTTTGCTAATACATGTACTTAACAAAATTAGAGTTAATGAATAGTGTGAAAATACTAATTGCACTAAAATTGGGTAATCTTATTTTATATTGGATTATCTTAATATTACATAAATTGATGACATTTATCTTGACATATAAGTCCATATGAAATCTTGAATAGTATGTAATAGTTGCTTTATTTAATGTTATTTATATATTTAGCTGTATTATCTTCTGGATACTTAAACATTTTTTTGTTAGCAATGTTAATTTACTGCCTGTATTTTAGGTTAAGTAAAATTAATCTGCAATTAAATGTTCAACATAAATGATTTTATAAAATAATATATCCTAAAGGTAACTTATACTGTGTTTTTCATTAATTTTATGAAAATTCCTTCTGTTGCACATAGAATGAAGTTTCTCTTACTATAATTCAAATAAACAATTAACATCTTTTTTTTTTTTTTTTGAGCTGGAGTTTTGCTCTCTTGCCCAGGCTGGTGTGCGGTGGCACAATCTTGACTCACTGCAGCTTCTGCCTCCTGGATTCAAGCAGTCCTCCTGCCTCAGCCATCTGAGTAGCTAAGATAATAGGTGCCTACCACCACACCTGACTAATTTTTGTATTTTCAGTAGAGATGGGGTTTCACTACGTTGGACAGGCTGGTTGTTCAAACTCCTGACCTCCAGTGATTTGCCCACCTGGGCTTCCCAAAGTGCTGAGATTACAGGTGTGAGCCACCATGCCCAGCCTAATAAACATCTTGAGTTGTCTTTTGTTTGCCAATTATTGATTGGTATTGGACTTTAAAAAATCAGGTTCTATAAACCTGTTAATACATACTGACCAATTTCCAAAGTAAAATATTAACTGCATCATTTCCAGCTTTCCAAGGCAGTTTTTTAAAGTCATTTTTGTGCTATTTGTTAGTAT